TGGACCAGGGTATTTCAATGAAAATTTTATTGAAAACACGAACATTTTTTGTTTTGTTTGTTTGTTGTTTAACGCCGCACTCAGCAATATTCGAGCTATATGACAGCGGTCTGTTAATAATCGAGTCTGGACCAGACAATCTAGTGATTGGTATCATGAGCATCGATCCACGCAACTGGGATCGATGACAAGCATCAACCAAGTCAGCGAGCTGACCACTCGATCCCGTTAGTCGCCTCTTACGCCAAGCATGGGTTGCTGAAGACCTATTCTACCCCGGAATCTTCACGGGTCCGCAAACAACTCAAACACCGCCCTGGTGGTATATCTCACATGACATCAGACCTTACTGGACGCCTGTGTTTGTGCGTGCTGATACTTGTGCGTGATCGAATGATAAATACAATGTGTATTGTTTTGGTCATGATGATTATCTCCACATGACGTTGTTCTTTGTGGGTTAACCCATTTCATCAAGAAGGTACTACAGGGGATCTGAGCGCTCAACTGTGACCTTTGTTGTTATAAGCTGAAAGGCTATGGGATTTGGGGTTTGGGGAGGATACGGTTAGAGCGGAGACGCCAAATGGTTGCTGAATATATGTAACAGGCAAAGCGTACTTCGGTTCACTTTTGAAACATATTGAAACATTAGGTATTAAGATAAATGAAGTTTTGAAGAAACCTATTGAAGATGTTTCCACTATGGTAGCGGTAACCATGAAAATATTTGTTTGTGCGGCTGCCACAGTTATGAAATATAACTCTGAGTGACGTCAAAACGTGTTGCCACCTGACGTTGACTGCCAACCACTAAAAGCAATACAGTAAACTACGGTTATAACGAACTCAAAGGGACTACTACTTTTAGTTCGTTTTAACCGTAGTTCGTTATAAGCATATATACAGCATAACTACAGCAAATAGTCGGGACCAAAAAAGTAGTTCGTTATATCCGTCAGATCGTTATAAGCGTGTTCGTTATAACCGTAGTTTACTTTATATCTTGCTCGATTTGCAATAATCAGAAATCGACACATTGTTTCCCGTGTCAATAGTTGTCTGCTCCTGGTCATTAAGGGGCGGTGGGGTAGCCTAGTGGTTAGAGTGTCCGCTCGTCACGCCAAAAGCCCGGGTTCGATTCCCCACATGGGTAGAATATGTGAAGCCCTTTTCTGGTGTCCCCCGGGATATCGTTGGAATATTGCTAAACGCGACGTAAAACCATACCCACTCACTTCTGTTATTGAGGTCAGAAACAATGTGCCCATGCCTCGACGTCAGATGACAATTGGTTGTGTTCGGGTATTATGTTCCTAAGGCCATGAACGCCATAATTAAATGTGTGATAATGTGCTCAGTAGTCACCAGCTCCTGTATTATTGAACCTTGTTCGCAGAGTGGTCCCATTAATAACGTCAAACAGTTGACCATCATGCGGACTTCGACGACTAGGGCTTTGTTTATTGTCATTTCTTGTTTTGAACAAGGCGGCTTGAGTACTCTATACATATCCATATTGGTGACGCTTCATTGAGTGCGCTGAGTAGATATCGAATATCCCAGATGGTATCCATGGGAACAGTGCCATCCTGATTAACGGGACTTTACATATGGCGAGCTACAGGCGAATTTGTTACATTCTGTCCTACAAGTGCTGAATATATTAATTGTTGTTCCCTTAGCAAGTGGTACAATTAAAATGGGCAAGTCTAGAATGGTTTGATACTTCCGCAAACAGTTTATATGCAATGAAAATAAAGAAACATTTAACGTACACAGGTAGCCATCGGATGTTAACGCTGCGTCGTCAGCAATATTCCGGTAATATCCCAGAGTTGGACTTCACACACTACCCATGTGGGGAATGTGACGAGCGAAAAGTACTGCAACCCACCCCACCCCCCACCCCACCCAGAGGCTCACACACACACGCACACGCATGCGCGCACGCACAGACACACACGCGCACGACTGCATTTTAGTCATTATGTAATAATGTTTTTGTAGCATGACCACGTTTTACCGGAATATCTTGCATGACCTTAGATTGCTCACACAGAGGCTCACACACACACACGCACACGCACGCACGCACGCACAGACACACACGCGCACGACTGCATTTTAGTCATTATGTAATAATGTTTTTGTAGCATGACCACGTTTTACCGGAATATCTTGCATGACCTTAGATTGCTAGAAACTTTTCTATAAAGGGTAATATGACCAATATGCTGGTATTGCTACCGATTTTCACTTGTCCATTCACATAATTTTCACAGGTATTTAGCCCTTTACACAATATATATTAAGCATATATTAATATTACTAAACATTACACGACACGACACGACACGACACGACACGACAATATATCTATGAGAGCTTAGTCGTCTGGCAAACATTCCAGTGGCTATGCGTGGACTGTGTACCGGTGTCTGTGTACATGTGTACCGGTGTCTGTGTACATGTGCACGCCGGAAAATGTTAAGTTGTTATTTCCGCTTGAATCGTTTACGATAGCTGTGTCGGGTTGCAGTCATAAATTAATACATTCTCTTGACACACATCATTATTTCTTTTTTTAATTAATATTAATACCAAACACGTTTTATTTGCATAATACCATAATATACTCTTCAAAAATAAGGAAACGAAAAACGGTTGTTTTTGGCCATAAAAGCAAAATTAGCGGACCAAGAGGTGCAAAATGAAGAGGTTTAATGTGTTATAGTGTATATAGTGATTTATCGGATCCAGATGACCGAAACTAGGACATGCAACACATTAGTCGGGAAACACGTACGATTCGGAAATAAACGCACCCAGTGCATTAGCACAAGGCCATGGAGCTGCACGGACTGCACGTGCAGAAGCACTATGAACGGCATTAAAGTGCAGGGTTTATAAATGCCAGGCATCTGCGTTAATCGAACAGTGACTGTTCAACAACATGCCAAAATTAACAGAAGTGCAACGAAACAACGTCAAAGGTCGCTTGCAGGCAGTGGGGTCCCGATTAGCTGTAGCCAGGGTTTTCAATGTAGCACTCAGCACCATCACAAGGCTATGGGATCGGTTTCAACAACATGAGTTAACACGTGATCGGCCAAGGTCGGGACGACCAAGAGTAACCACCCCCGCCCAAGATCGCTACATCCGACCGCGCCATCTACGTGAAAGGACGATCACAGCCACCTCAACCGCTTCCCAAATACCTGGACTGCGCAGAATCTCCGATCAGACCGTACGAAACCGTTTAAGAGCAGCAGGTCTACGAGCAAGACGTCCTGTTCGACGCGTCATATTGAGTCGACAACATCGTCAACAACGACTGCATTGGTGTCGTCAACACAGGGTATGGCCTGAACTGCCGAATCAAGATTTCTCCTCCGTCGAGGGGATGGAAGAGCACGGGTCTACAGACGTCGGGGAGAACGTTTCACCGGAAACTGCGTACAGGAAGTGGACAGGTTTGGCGAGGGTAGCGTTATGATGTGGGCGGATATCTCTCATCATGGCAGGATAGGTTTGGTCCATATCCAAGGCAATCATACGGCTCAATGATACATTCACGAAATTCTCCTACCACACGTCCTCCCAATTGCAGCCAACGGCAATGGTGTATTCCAGCAGGACAACTTGGATCACAAGAGCCTGTCTACACAACAACAACGTTGATGTTCTTCCCTGGCCCTCCAGATACCCGGATTTGAACCCGATAGAGCACCTGTGGGATGAATTGGATAGACGGCTACGCCGACGTCAACCACAATCCCAGACGTTGATGCAGTTGGCTTTTGCGTTGCAGACCGAGTTGACTTCCATTCCCTGGGATGTGATTCGCATATTCGTCTCTTCCATGGGCAGGAGATGTCAGGCCGCTATCGCTTCAAACGGGGGACATACGCGTTATTGATGGTAGATGACATTCACTTTAGACTTTTCCCATGTACCGATATCTGAGATGACAACAATCATCAAGGGTTCTCTCCACAACATTTTGGCTCATTACCTTGTACGGTTCTTCGTATGAATGTATTTTCCCACCTCACACAAATCTTGCTTTGCGTTTCATTTTTTTGAAGAGTATATACATATGCCACACCAGTTTTGTAATGAGAAAGGTCTCCCTAAGTGGGTGCCCAGAGTACCGAGGTTACCTGATTTCCATCATGGTCAAGAACAGATATTTCAATATTAGATTGTCGGACATATTGACCTTTTTCGCTTTGTGCAACTTTGTTATGATAGGTGATTAAGAGCGTTGCTTTACTGTAGTGACATCCTCTTTGTTAAAGGGTCTGAACTATGCCGATAAACCAGTGGCTGATAGCCTGAGCGAACGGTCATCTCCACCAGGGCACCGTGACCCATAATCCGTCTGATGGACATCGAAAGACCATTTAATTAACTGACCCGTGAAGATCCGGGTTAGAAGTGGTCTTCCGCAGAGAGAGGCGACTAACGGGATCGGGTGGTCAGGCTCGCTAACTTGGTTGATGCATGTCATCGTGTCCAAATTGCGTGGACCGATGGTCATGATATCTATTATTGGATTGTCTGGTCCAGACTCGATTGTTTACAGACTGCCGTCATATAGCTGGGATATTGCTGAATGTGGCGTTAAACAGACAAACAAACAAGATTTGGTCAAGTCCTACGAAAAGAAAAAGGTGGGTGTGACCACCTAGGCCCTTGAATCCCAGCCGAGATATCTCTGTAAAACTGAGCTGTCTGCGATAATACTGAATAAAACCATTTAGATACATTCTGTCAAGATGGAAGATTATCAAAGAATATGGCTTGTTTGATTATCATCTGAAGACGCTGTGGTATTGATAGAACACACGAGGCGATGTCTGCACTGTTTAGTAGCAGGGCTCGGTTGAAGGCTGGCTTTTAATATCGATCGATCATCCCACACAGTCTCGCATATCTTAGAGAAAATTTTCTCACACTAGATTCTATCAAAAGGACAGAAATTCTTCACTTACCTCCACTTTATGTTTTGGGACATTTTTTAGCTTCTGTGCCCATGCAGGTGCCTGGTAATCCACGAGATATTTAGCCATTGGGAATAAACTGTAGGCTCGTTTTGCAATGAGGACCATGCAAGCAGGCGCGCGCGATTCGCCTTCAGCTGAATGAAGCGGACGCTTGTCGTCTGCTCGCGTTATGGTTGGACGACTGGTTGGTCTACAGCTGAGGACGAGGTGCGTCGGGACTGGCGAGCATTGAAACATGCAACATGGTTGACTGGTATGAGTGGGGCAATAGTCGTCATAGTTAGCCACGTATATATGTCGTGAGACAACCACACAGTTTTGTGATGTCATGATGCAAAATATAATATTTGTACGAAAGGTCGTCCGTGTGTTCATGAACAGCACTCCCGTTCACTGGTACATTTGTACTTGTTGGTGATGGGTTTCAGCCACTCCCAGTAGAACATTCATGATCAAACTAATTCATCAGGGGTTATGGCAGCTCTGTCAGCCGGGGTTTATAACCTGAGCTTCCCAAGGAACAATGGGTGAAGTACCTGGAATGGATCGCTCAAACTTCAACCTTGAACATAATACGACAGTCCTCGCCATGCCTGTAATAACATACGCGTGAACAAGATCTTGTTCTCTGTTGTCCTGTGAGGCGGACACGTGTGCATTTGATTGAAGACCGCCTCCGTGGTCTAGAGTATTTGTCCGGAGCGCGGAAGGTCGGTGTTCGATCTCCGGCCGCGTCACACCAAAAGGCGTTAAAAGATACTTGTTGTTACCCTGCCTGGCACTCGGCGTTGAGGGGTTTAAACAAGGACTGGTCGGCTCGGCGTCAGTATACTGTGTCAGAATGTTAAACTGCGATATGGTATCGCAGTCGGCTAGCACTATAAAAGCGGTTCTAGACCAGACAGTACAGTACAGTACAGGCAGCTGGAGACACAGACACAGACACACAGACGCAAACACACGTGCACGCACGCACGCACACACGCATGCGCGACACTATAATAAGTGCAATAATCTTGAACGCGACGCTCAACCCCATTTCGCGTCACCTCATATGACTGGAGCGAGTGAGTGAGTTGGGTTTAACGCCGCTTTTGACATTATTCCAGTCATATCACGGCGTGCTAGCTTAATGTGGGAGGAAAGCCAGGAGTGATGCAGGTCACAGACGTTTACCACTTCGGTGAAACCCACGAGCACGGGTATGGTGCTGACAAACCTAGAAACATAATTGGGGCGAACCGGGATTCGAACCCACAATCATAGGTTTCTGGCGTGTCCAAAGGACGCAACTATGCACAGCGAATCGCGGCGCCTTGGACGACTGGGCCACCCGTGCCCCCTTCATATGACTGGTTATGGTTTACAGTTAATATTTTAATCTATAAAAAACTTGCTGAAAGTCCTATGCCCAGAAGGCGGTGGCTCATGGGCCAATCTGGTGATGCTGACCTCCGAATTCTGTACGTCTCCAACTGATTACCATGGGCCGATCCAGCCTGACCTTTAATTTGGTAGAATGCTATAGCTCTTCGTGTCAAATGTGCTGCAGTATACCACCCCTTTATCCCCGGTCTTTGCAGCTTGGAGATCCGCTGCAGCATAAGACTGATCTTGTTGACACTCCATGGTCGGAGGGGAAAAGGGGTGCAGAATTACTTTCCTTTCGACATGGCTTCCCAACACCCTGGTTCAAAAAGACGATACATAAATACTGACAATACCTCATCTAACGAGAGAACAGCCAATCGATCCGACTATTGGCCACGTTTCTTGGTTATAGAAGCTTTAGACAAACAACCAATGAAATTGAATCCATTTGCGATCTCCAAAGGTATCATAGGTTTCAAATTAAAAGAGTCTGTCAATATCAAGGTTGTTGTCTCAGTGCACAAGACACTGAACTTGTGTAAGGGCATTGTCCGTGACAGAGCTCATTGCCCGTCCGGCATGTCCGAAGACGATATAGCCAAGGAACTTGAACAACAGTCGGTCACAGCTGTCAGACGGTTTACTTTAAAGAAGGGTTGTGTGGTTACAATAACCAAAGCTGGTTATTGTAACATCGAAGTGGAGGTGTATATCCTCAATCCGTTCCGGTGCTACACCTGCCAAGCGTTTGGACATGGATCCAAGTCCTGCCGTGCCTCTGCTGTCTGTAACCGCTGTGGTGACAAACACGAGGCCACTGACTGCAGGAAGGATGTGAAGTGTTCAAACTGTGATGGGAACCATATGGCATCTTCCAAATCCTGCCCTGTCTGGCAACATGAATTACAGATAATGAAAATCAAGACCGAACAAAACCTCTCCTACTATGAAGCTAAGAAAAGGGTTCTACTGCAACCACTTCTTCTATATCTTGCTCTGCTGCTGTCTCTCGTCCTCCAGTCACCACTGCCTCTATCGACTGCCAGACTGACCTGACATGGGTCAAGTCTGTGCAGCCAATTCCAACTGCTTCACTCGGAAAACCAGCTGTGACAACCCCAAAACCAAAAACCGTCAACAATGTTGAGTCGCAAACTGCGGTGAAAACCATATGGCTTCTTCAAAATCCTGCCCTGTGTGGAAACGCGAATCACAAATGATAAAAATCAAAACTGAACAAAATCTCTCGTACCACGAAGCTAAGAAGAGGGTTGTGGATCTTACCACAACCACTTCTACTTTCACCTACTCTGCTGCTGTCTCTCGTCCTCCTGTCACTACTTCCTCTATCGACTGCCAGACTGATCTCACATGGGTCAAGTCTGTTCAGCCACTTCCTCCTCCTTCACTCCATAAACCAGCTGTGACACCCTCGTCTGTGACTCCTCCCAAACGCAAAACTGTAAAAATTGTTGAGTCTCAGACTTCTAAACACCAGAACCAGAACCAGAACCAGAAATTGTCACACTTACAAACAAGGAAAGATTTTTTGGGAAAAAGAAGCAGCAAAAAGAACAGCTGTAAACACCAAAGGTCACCTCTCCCTTAGAGGTCCAAGTAGAGGCCCATAACTCCTTTGTTCCTCTGGACATGGCGGTAACTCCATCTCCACATGAAACCGATAGGAGTACTACAGAGTCTTCCTCACGTTCGCGTGATAATTCACCTGTGGAAGCACCACCATGAATCCAATACACATTATACAATGGAATTGCAGCGGTCTTAAGAAGAATGTTAATGAAATACAACTTTTAATCCAAGATTTTAAACCGTCAGCTTTTAGTCTCCAAGAAACATATCTAAAACACACAGATCTATTTGATATCCGTCAGTACAGTTCTTACCACTCGTTTTCCCCTCCTGGTGATAAAGCTACAGGAGGTTCTTCTATCCTGGTGAAGCAGAGCATAATCCATAGCCCTGTTCGACTCAACACTTCTCTTCAAGCTGTTGCTGTCCGTGCTACTTTGAACATGGTGTTTACACTGTGTTCACTGTTTCTTCCACCTTCCTCAACTATCCGTCAATCAGATCTTCAGACTTTGTACGATCAGCTCCGAAGCCCTGTATCACCATGAGCGATTTAAACGGCCATAATCCCCTTTTGGGGAGAACTGATACAAATAATAAGGGAAAGGTCCTTGAAGATTTTATCTCAAACAATGATTTATGCATCTTCAATGATGGTAATAACAAATATCTGCATCCTGCCACTGGCACATAATCTGCCCTAGATCTTTCACTGACAGATTCAGTTATTTTAATTGAATTCGAATGGTTGGTCCATGATGACCTTTGTGGAAGTGACCATTTCCAACAATACTTACAACTATTAATCCGTCTGACGAACCACCGTCAACAAGGTGGAACTTAACAAAGGCCAATTGGTTTTTATTCCAAACACTCTGTTCTGAAAAACTAAAACCCGACAGTTTCAGGACTTTTTTCAGATATTTTAAATGCTATTGGAGACGAAAGCATTCCTAAGTCCTCTGCAAACCCTCATATACGTAAACCATGGTTTATAATAATTGTAAACAAGCCAGAAAAAATAGGAAAGCTGAGAAATTCCACTGTCCACAACTTGAATAACGTTAAAATCACGGGCGCCAAAGCTAGACGTACTTTTAAACAGAATAAACGTCAATCATGGAGGAACTATGTATCCAAAATCAGTTCCCGCACACCCATGTCCAAGGTGTGGAGCATGATTCAAAAGCTTAATGGCAAAGGATCTAAATCTGGAGTTTACCATCTCAAAGATGGGAATACATTATTAAACACCAAATCTGAAACTGCCAACAAACTTATAACCTTCAATTCCAGCGGTTTAAAAAACAGCAGGAAAAGAAAAAAGTCAATTTTAACTCTGATAATGGTGAGGACAATAACGAAACATTTTCGCTCCATGAATGATATACTGCTCAAGGACAATCTCATGACACTGCAGCGGGAGCAGACAACATCCACTATCAGCTCCTGAAACACTTGCCCGATTATCGTAATCCTATCATAATCGATGTAACTATCATCAACCAGTGTTTTTAAGCCAACTCATTGCTGAGCATGTTTTTTAACATTGGCTAGTATTATTCACAACCACCAGAAGCTAAAGTGATGACGTAAATCCTGCTTGGGTATCACGCAGGAAGCCGAGGTGGCCTAGCTTTCGTTACTGGTGGCCTATAGTCCGTGTTTTAAAAATGAATACATGATATTGTAATGCTCAAATATGTTTTTAAATATAACTTTGCATAAATGGTAAACATATTAACTTGGTCTCGTCGCTTTATGGCTGAAATAATGCCGATGCGTTTCAACCCACTCACTCACTCATTGAAAGGTGATTATAAAGATGCGTCAAATTGTACATAGATTGATGTAGACAAATTGTGGGTCGAGACACGGATCGAGTGGCTACTATGACAGCGGATGAGCATGTCTACAATTTGCTCACTAGGATGAGTCGTAGCGAGGATATTCGTGAACGATCATGCAGTTTGACGTTTCTCAGTGTATGCTAAAACACTGAGTTCCAGGGTCTAAATGATTAGTATTCATTCGTGCGAGGGAATTCCCAGGGGTTTCCAGAGGACTGTGGAAGTGGTCCATCAGCGTTTGTCATTTCAAGAACACAGTCTCAGTTGTCGTCACTAAGACTTTTATTTTCAAATCCCCAAACCATACGTTACATAGGGGTAATCATTGTGCCAAATGAATTCAAGATCCAGAGGCAAGTTAATATTTCGTGCTTTCGTTGCATATCCCCTAATTGTTTTATTGTTTTGGGAATATCCTAACAGGTTTCTCTGTGATATTCTCTGTGATTTTTGAGACAATAAAGTTGTTTGTTTGTTTGATGTTTAACGCCGCACTCAGCAATATTCCATCTTTATGACGGCGGTTTGTTAACAATCGAGTCTGGACCAGACAATCCAGTGATTGACAACATGAGCATCGATCCACGCACTTGAGATCGATGACATGCATC